CCCCCACGGATGAATTATTGAGATCTGACACGACCAATTTCCCCAAAGCCATGGGTGATCCTGCATAAGACACTCAAAAGCAAGGAAATAAGGAAGCAATAGTCAAAAGGCATAGTCCTCAGACCAAAATTCAATTTCTGAAGAAGGAAGGCTCAAGCTAACAATATCTTATTCGAATTGTTACCGCTCTGAACGCAAAATATCACTAGCCCATATCTCCAAATCACATGGTTAGAACGCCTCTTTCAAGTGAAAAGTTATCATGCAAACAAACTCCCAGCAGCAGTGGATACCTTGCAGTTGTCAATTTCACAAGTAATTGAAATTGGGCGTGCGTACACAATATGAAGCCTCGCCCAACTAAGCCACATTATTGACTGATCACACGCCCAATCTTTTTTCTGGCCATTTAGTGACGCAGAAATGTGGGGGTATCAAGCATACATAGCAGTAATGATTACGTGTGAGATAGGAAAATAAAAAAAGAATTCAGCAATTAATTGCAACTGAAAGAACTTCTAGAAAGGATAAAGAAAATAAAAAATACAAAAACCAAGTGATATAACCTCACCTGTCAGCACTCGGAGCTGCTCTGTACGGTTCCCACGGAACAAATCGTGGTTTCTTCATTTTCGTGGAGTCTTTCTGCGACTTTTCAGAGTCGTTTGTAAATTTGTGCACAAATACCTTGTCCTCATCGGTGTCTGGAGACGCAAAATGCTGTTCGTGTGCGTGATAAAGATCTATGAGATCCATGGCTGTCGCTGAAGCGCGTCCCGTCACTCCTCTGACGGAGGCGCGTGTAATGTAAGGCAAAGCCTGAAATTGCTATTTCGATATTTTGGGTAGCATAACCTCTCGATACATATAGATTGTGTACTATTCCTGAATGGCATTTCGTGAGAATTATTGAATATCAGAGCATAGAAAGACAGATAGATATGTTATCAAATGAATGAATCCAGCAGAGATTATCGAAAAAAAAATAATGCTGAAAAAACTCGATGCAAATACAAACAAGAGAAGCCAGTTTATATCAAAGCTGACGGACTGAAAACTTCTGCCGGTCATGACCTCATGCAATGAAGTTGTGACGTTACACGTGTCGCAGCAACGGACAGGACAGAATGGACAAACAATAGGCAGACAAGCAAGATTCAAAACTGACGTCTTACGGGAACCGTCTGACGTTGTGGAGCTACACAACGAAATTCATCATTCTGAGCATAAATCTCCACATTACCCGAAAGATCGCTCAATCAAGTACAATCAGAGAAATCCCACATCCGAGGCTTATAATAGGCCATGCTTTATCGTTCTCTGTTCGAAATGTGTCCCAGTAATGGAAAGTATAGAACACTCACTCAATACCAAACATGCAATAAAAGTTGTAGCCGGTCGAAATGGGATGCGCTGTAGTAATATTATGTTTGCTCTGTGAAAAATCGACATAATCTGGGATGGAAATTTACAATCCGGCCGATTCAGCAATATTCCCAATCAATTCATAATTAAACTTTCGCCAATGTAATTGCTCGCCCACAGCTGCACTCCAATACCCCAGCGAACCATATGTATGTAGGTGACAATGTGAAAATACTTAACGGCTTCAATCGCAGTTTCTGGATTCAATCATAGTAGTTCGCACTGGAA